GAAAATAATTATAATAAAACTAAATAGCTAACGGCTTCGGTTTTAAGAAACAAATTATACTGTTGGAATTGTGTATTATTTATAAGTGATAAACTGATAAATCTTCCGCTTGGGGTAAAACAAGCTATAATAATTTACAAAATTTGTCACGAGCTATAGAAAGGCATGAAAAATCACAGGAACACATATTTTCTTCGATTAAATTAGAAATGCTTGGTAAGCAAAACATTGCCAATAATTTAGATTCGGCTCATAAAAGGGAGAACTATTACGAGAAAGTTGGTGAAAATTGGGCAATTTTGAAAAGACTAATCGATGCAATATAATTTATCTGTCAACGCAAGAGTGTTCTTTTCGTGGGCATGACGAAAAAAATTATTCAGATAATAAAAGATATAAAAAGTAGTGCTTTTCAAATTTGAGCCTCCTCTGAAGAAAACTTCACGAGCCGCCACTGCATTAAAGATATTATACAGTTGCACAATTTCTGTGCTTGACGAAGCAAATTTCAATAGTATCGCGACGTGTACGGGTATACCAATACTCAAACTAAAGTACAGGTATATGACAGCTGATTTTTAACAGAATCGACTAATAAATCTAGGACGCGTGGAAAACTGTAAATGAGGAACGTCCTACGGTTGCTAAAAATTAATACAAGAACATTTTAATAGGCCATGATAAATTTGTAAACTTTTTCACTGATACTGCTGCATACCTAAATTGTCAACCAGTTACAGTTCAGTGCGACCAATATGGAAACATTTTTTGTGAAAGTTCCTACATGTAAAAACAACTTTTATTTATATCCCATTACCCCGGACAAGGTTTTTAGAATGATACGTTTCCTGAAAAATACTAATTCGTTTGATGCATACTCGGTGAATGTCAATATACTTAAAAAGACTGTTGATATTATAATTGACCCATTATACTCAGTTGACAAATATGATTTTCAGTTTTCCCGTCTTTCCAGATGTCTACAAATTAAGTAGAGTGGTGCCTGTTTTTAAAAAAATGAAAAATATTAAAGATAACTATCGTCTAATATCTATTGTAAAGTTATCGAAATCTTATTAAAAAATCGTCTACTTTTTTTGAGAAATTTTCTTTATTTCATAAATCACAATTGGGGTTTACGAAGTAATCTATCCACGATAGATGCTGTCTAGGAGGTAGTAAGAATTAAGAGTTATTGAACGGATTTGAAAATAGGGAATTTACAACCATTACGCTTTTGGATTTCAATAAAGCGTTTGACTATGTTTCTCATTCACTGTTGTTAAATAAATTTGAACACTATGCGGTAAGAGGAATACCATTAAAACTATTCAAGACGTATTTAAGTGGAAGAAAACATTAGGTACGTCAGTATAAATCACACGAATTCGATAACCCCTAAAATTACACATGGTATGTCCCAAGGCCCTGTTCTGGAATCATTACCTCAGCTGAAAAATGGTATCATTTTAATTCTTTAAAGGTAAACACAAATAAAACTCAAGAATTAACGTGGTCGTCTAATGCTTCATATATGGTAACTGTGTTGAACTTTTGGGGATTATCTTAGACGATAATTTAAACTGGAAATTGCATGTGGATGTGTTAACAAAAAATTATCTTCTTCCATCTTTTTACTTCGTAGGTTACGTGGCTACTGCAGTATAAATATTCTTTTGTATACTTTTTCAGAGTCATGTAAATTATATGGTATACCTAAAGTGACCATTTATTTTTTCTCAAAACGGTATACCGTATACCTTTATGGGGTAATTCTGTAAATGCTAACAAAATATTCGTCTTGCAAGAAAAAGCGATTCGAATTATTACAAACCGGTACCTTGCTTGATACGAAAACGGAAAGCTAGTTACTTTTCTGATTCGCAAATACACAGTCACGACACCAGAAACAAAAATCTGCTAGTCTTACCATTTCGTAGAATTAACAACTCTAAAAGAAACTTTTTAAATTTGCATCTTTACAATAAGCTACCTAGCAGTACTCAGCATTATCCTTTAAATAAATTTAAATCTACTGTTAAGAATCTTCAACTCAAAAATTGCTTTTATTATATCGAAGAATTCTTGGATGCTCCGTTTTAATTAATTTCATAAATGAGACACATCTGTTTCATTGTTTTTGTTGTCTATGGTTTGTCTTATTTTTTCTTCTACATATATTGCTTCATTAGATATTGTCTATATTTTTTATGTGTATTATTGTTATTGTATTTGGTTTTGACTTGCCATACATGATTGTATTTATAACATGGTGAATAAACCTATATTTATTTATTTATTTATCTAGGAACCGGGAGGAGGTAAATATCTAGTTTGGATTATTGTTGACAACATTAGAAGAAAATGGACTTCTTGAAACTCCTGGAAAATTATTTAAAATGGACGAGTCGAGCGTTCAATTTAATAGCAAGGCCAACGAAAGGTTCTAAAAATGTCAGCACAGTAGTTTGAACAGAGAAAGGGGAAACTCTGACTCTTGTGGCCTGCTACAATGCAGAAGGCATTTTTTTCTCTTCGGCCTTCATCATGAAAGGTAAAAATAAGAAACCAGAACTGGAAGATGGCATTCTACCTGGTTCAATTAATCAATTTTATAGATAAATCAAAAGTCAGCTTATATGATTTCAAATATGTTTTTGAAGTGGATGAAAGATGTGTTTATTACACGAAAACCTACGGGTAAGGTATTATTTTAACGTGATGGCCACACCTCTCATTCTTCTAGCGTTGAGATGTTATAATTTATTGAAGCAAGTAATGTTATTTTGTTCAGTTTTCCTAGTTATACGGCTCGTTGCCTGCAGCTGCTCAACAGATTCATATTTAAACCATTCAAAGGCTATTTCTATGAAATCTGTAGATTATGGACTCGAGCCCATTCTTAGAGACGCATCACGCGTTTATAATTTTGCTGAATTGTTTCTTCAAGCTTGGGCCAAGACCACGGTTGTAGAATATATAGGTTTGTACACTAACGGCTTGGGATGGCAATGTTTCATGCCGATCGTTATATTCATGGAAAGAACACGTACAGTTGGCGCCTCTACCTTGTCGAGCGGAAGTCATTCTAGTTATAGTTTTGGAAATTTCATACTGTCCTATAAAACTTTATTGGAAATAACGAGACGGACAGTAGTACAATAGCAAGAGATATTTACAACTGAAGTTGTCGCGTGCCGGTAATCCCCAGATGTTAGAAAGTAGAATAATACACGTCCGGACTATCTGGACCAGTTCTCCGACAAATTCGGGTGAACTGGTGTGAGTCATAAATATTTCTTACCATTGTACAACTACTGTCCGTGTCGTTATTGTCAATAAAATTTTATAGGGTAGAATGGAATTTACAAAACTATACGTTCGGGATTTTCGTTGACACTGCTTTGTGAATGACAATTAACAATACAAAATTTTTAGATGACATTTCATCGGAGTCGATAAGTAGATTTCTTTTATTAACAGATGGCCATATCATTTGTAGTGCCTTGGCCCTCTCTCTCGGCAATTAGCGTCGCTGACCAGGGATATATTGATATATGCTAGTGAATGCTATTCTATGTACAATCGTGGCCAAGCCTGAAAATGCTATTTCTGGTTTTAGAGCCACCGACTTAATTGTCTATAATCTCGGTGCAATACCAGTTTCCGGGTACATCGGTTGGAAAATCACCCGATTTCAAAAGGGTCGTGATCTCAGGTTCAATGCGGGAAGTTGGGTCGCGGGAAAGAATAGTATTCTCATGGGATCCCCCCTTTCACCAATCGTCGCCAATATTTTCATGGACGCTTTTGAAGGGACAGCCATTGAATCCGCCCAGCTCAAACCTAAAGTCTGGTTCCGCTACATGGACGACACATTTATCACAAACGCCCTTCAGTCTTTCACGATCATCTCACCAGTCAACACCCTGACATTCAGTTTACCATGGAAGTGGAAACCAACAATTGTCTTCCTTTTCTTGACGTTATGGTAACCAGGTTACCCGAAGGTCCCCTTGGTCATTTAGTCTATCGAAAACTTACCCATACCGACCAATGCTGCATCTCATTACCACCCCACCCAAAAATGGTCTGTCATTGACTCCCTAATTCATCGAGCTACTACCATTTGTCAACCGGACAAACTCCAAAAAGAATTAGAACATCTCCAAACATCTCTTCAACAAAATGGATACGACCACCACACTATTAAGTCTGCCATTCAACGTCGGCTTAATCCCAATTCTGACAATACTTCAAATCGCCCAACTGATTTCGTATCGACTGCATATCTTCCATTCATTCCCCAGGTCACCGACCGTCTGTCCAAAATACTCCAAAGGCAAAAAGTTAAAACAATCTTCAAACCTGCAACTAAAGTTGCACAAATTTTTCCTTCCGTCAAAGATTCTCGCTAAGCTCTAGACTGTAGAGGAATCTACAGAATTCTCTGCTTCTGTGGTGTAAATTATATAGGAGAAACTGGTCGATCCATAAAAATTCGAATTCAAGAGCACAAACGTTGTCGTAGAACTGGTCTTTTGTCCCACTGTGCCGTAGCTGAATACCAACATGAAACCGGTCACACCACTCTGTTTGAAAATTCCCAAGTTCTGTCTAAAGCAACACATTTCTATGGCCGGAAAATCCGTGAAGCTACTAAAATCCATAAATATACTCATAATCTCAATCGAGACAATGGTTATTATTTGTTAAATATCTGGAAGCCCACACTGGATGCAGTTGCTCGTTTATCTCCCCCGACTCCGCTCGGAGCCGTCCAATCAGCTTCAACTACGACGGTTTGCCCCACCACGTCTCTAGAAATAGGTCACAACCACATTCTTTTCTGCCAGAAGAGTTTCGCCTCTGGTATGGTTCACATACTGAGTTCCCATGCTCTTTTGCCTTCTTCTAAATTTCTCAACTCTGCTCCTGAAGATGCCACCTACGAAAGTGTGCGAAATGTCGAGCCCAAAAACTCAAGTGACACGATCCCAACCCAGAAAACGATCATATATTATCACAGTATATTGACTTGACAGTGGAAACTTCCGAAATTATCATATAGATGGTTCAACTCTAACCAAAATGTATCTAATCATCCTCACCAACAAGGTGGTGCCATCGCCTGAAAATTTTTAATATAAATATTTTTTAAATTGCATAAAATTATATACTAATTAACAATTAGGTATATATGTAGTTTAAAATTCCCATTTAGTGTTAACCACAATTACTTTACAAAAATGTGTCTGCAATATTCGCTACATGTTGTATATAAATATAATCGATTTCCCGCGCGCATGCTAACAACTGCGTTATAGCTGCTTGGCCTGGGCCCCCAGGAGGTGACTAATTTCTGCTTTCCAAGCGTTCGAATAAGGTCTGCACTAGTGAGGTTCGAATCTCCTCACATTTTTTTTTAATTCAATTCATTTAGTCGAAAACTGAAGTAATGTTACATGGCAAATAATTTTTATTGCGGTGTGTATATTCAGTAACAGCTGCTCATCCAAAATAATTTTCGGACCATTTGGCTGTATTTATCAGTCCACTCCTCTGTTTTAAGGAGACAAAATCAATTAAATTTCATTTCCTGTTATGCGGCCGCTGATGATTGTACGTGATTATAGTCGAATTCTCTCGAAGTATAGACATAAATACTCGAAGTTAACCACGAGTTCATTTTCCGTTGGTTATATGGTTTAAATATATTTTCTATCGTTCACAGTTTTGCGGACCACGATATATCTTGCAATTTACGCCCCCGCGGCGCAGGAGCTGCGGGGATGTTCTTTATGCCATTGGTTTTTACTTTATAGAAGTTACCACAAAACAAAAATCGCAAAATCAAATTTTATAAATTAAATTAAAGAAGCGGTGTGGGAAGTTCGGTTGAAATAAACTTAAACCAACTTTTTACCCATTAAATTGACAGCAGCTGCAACTGTATAGCTGAAAACTTGAGTGTAGAATGAAACTTTCATTTTATTTATTCTCTTTGGAATGACGTGCTGGTCAGTTAGTTTTGGCATAGCAGAAAATTCACCACTCCTTCCATCTATCATATACATACCTAAGCATTTTCAATATCTTGTTATTTTGCAGTATACACTTTTTCTTGTTCCCATATTAAATTTTAATTGAGAAGGTTGTTTCGAATGCCGTTTATCAGATGGATAGAATTCTATAAAGGTATAATTTGTTCGTTGTTTATTATTATTATATGTCGTTTAGAGCCCATACTTAATTCTTTCACTAAAGTGTTAATAGCAGCTCGATTGGATGAACCCTGATCACAAACTACTGCCACTACACTAAGATTCGTTTTAGTTCCTGAATTTGTAAAGGTGGAGGTTAAACTTTGTTGCCATCTAGAAAATACACCGCGTAATTTAAATACAAGTTCATGATTCTCTATTTCCAGAGTTTCCCTGTGACCAAAATCTTCAAATCCTATAAGTATACAGAATGTGCCTTTTTTCCTCATTTTAGCAGAACATTCCTTTCAGTATTCAAGAAGCATATTATTTATAACCGCATTTATAGGGATTGTATTAATTATTTTTATTATCGTTTGTCGACTTGGTGATGCAAATATCCTTCCCAAAAAACTGTACCATTTTCTAGAGTATTTGTACATAGATAATGCCATAAGCTTTTCATCTTCGCTGTATCTGCGACCATATAGTTGTTTTATTTTGTTGTCTCAATTGTAAGAAAAAATATGATTAGCTTCTTGACTCTATATTACATTGAAAACTTTTGCAAGACGTAATCATCTTAATGTTTTTATTTCTTGGGGAAATCTCATTGCCTTCAAACATCGTTTTCCGCTATGTTCTCGGTGTTTATCTATACCATATAGCGATGCATTATTTTGTTCAATTTTTGAACTGCTATTTGGATCTTGCGATGAAACCAGAAATAAATATACTTGGTTTTGGTAATCATGGACAAACACAGTACCACTTTGTATGTCGAATCTAGTGTAGGATCGAAAATATAGTTTTGAAACACCTTTGTGTAAAACAGCAACCTTTATCTGTGATAGATTGAAAGCTTTCACGGCTGTTCTCATTAGTTATTTACTTTTTGAAGCAGACTCCTTAAGACAGCTGTGCTAGTTAACCTTCCATTACAACTAAGACCCTTTTCTTCAAAATGATTTTCACATATCGATAATTTTTATAAATTTGATTTTCTTTGCGGTCTGCAATATACGGGTTCTTAAAAAGACTTTCCATTTATGGATATGTATGAGATCCTTTTTGGAATCTGAAAACCGAGACCTCGTAGAATTCTTATCAAAACACTTAAAAACCAATGACGAAACCGACACCTTTTTCCGTGTCCTTTTCGGTGACACCTTTTAGTTAAATTCCCCCTAAAAATAGTATTTAATAAAAATGAACACCTGTTATATATATATATATATATATATATATAAAAACATGTTGGGAACATACCAAATAATGCCTTTTGTAGTTCTGTATCACAGAAAATCTCTTTGGTGTTTGTTTCATTCCATCAAATTTTATTGGCCACTTCTAACTACACTAAAAGCATCATGAAATTAACTAATATCAATATCGCCGGATATAATTATGTGTGGTATACACTAAAATCTTGAAAAGAGATATTTCTAAATACTCTCCGATTATCAAATAAGTTTTCATTTGGAGGTAGTGCCGGATAACTTTCTAAATTATTATTGTTCTCATGATGTTTCGATTCTGATTCTGATTCCAATTCTGATTCACTCATCATTTTTGATATATTTTTTTCGTTTACCTTTACCTTTGTCATCAGCATCACCCATCAAGTCAGTCTGACCTATAAACACTATTATGCCCAACGATATACGTCAGAATATTCCAACCATATATTTTTTGATTCCCTAGGAGTCTCACTCCAAAAACTACCAATTTCCATCAGGTTCTGTACATTTGAAACCCAATTTCCTAAGATTTGGAACTGGCGGCCAACAACATAATGTATTATTTTGCATTAACCAACACTACAGCACGGAGTTCTCTTTTCGGAACAAAACGATGACCCACATCCTGCAACACCTAAAAAAGTATAGATTGCGCAGACTAAAAATTATTGAGCATAGTTTTATAGACAAAGTGAATAGTTTGTCGCTGGAAGCGAATTAGACTTTTGAAAGTAATCAAAATATATAAATAAACCATTATGAAATCATAGTAATTAATAATAATTTATGAAAACAAATTAGTATAGTAGAATTACGGTTATCCGTAACTTTGTTTTATTTGCAACAGCAGACTTTCTCAATTTCTTTGCTTTTTAGATACTGTCAGTACTTCGCTTTCATTTGGTGTGAAACAACGAAAGTCTAAAAAGTATAAAGTGAAAAAAACAACACAACAGTTGCTTCTTAGTTGTATTATAAATTATAACTTTTATCATCAAGTGTATGTTTTCAAATATGGTTTCAAAAAAATTAAGAAGTCATGGAAGTTTTTCAGTTCTCTGAATGATCTCGACATTTATTCATTCGGATTGGAATGGGTTTGCCCCCCATTGTTTCCGATAATCGAACTTCTACTGTACATGTGTTTTTTTTTTATTTGTACATTTGGTCGCATCGACAGCTAGGTCATTAGCAACCTTACATGGTAGGAAAACACACTTACTAAAAAGAAAAACCCTTCTATATGCATTCAAACAGCTGAATATGTTTAAGGAACAGAAGGATGTTGACCATGTTCGGGATGGTACTTCCTAGAGCTTCGGCGAGGTTGGGTGATATTTGGAAATGGTTGCGTTGGGTTTGCCAGTGGGGACAATCGCAGATGAGATGCTGGACAGTTTGACCGCATCCGCATTGCTGGCAAGTAGCTGGGGAGGTGCGGTTGAGCAGGTATGCATGGGTGAGCCGAGTGTGTCCTAATCGCAACCGCGTTAAAACGACTTGATCACGACGATCTGGCGGAAGTGGAAGTATACAGTTAACTTCTGGCTTAATCTGCTGCAATGCTGTAGGCGTAGAGGTCCAGTCTGTTTGCCACTTTTGAATGATAGCCTGTTTAAATAAACTTTTGGCGTCAGGTGATGGGACTAACAAAATTTCTTCGGCAGATTCCGATTCGACTGCTTCTTTAGCAGCCCTGTCAGCTTCTTCGTTTCCCGATACATACATTTCGGCGATTCATTTTTATTTATATAGATAGAAGGTATGAATTTTCTAAGAAATATGACTGATCAATTGTGTGGGGAAGAAAGTTATCTTCATCAGTAAAATCAGATTCAAAACATGACCAGACTATCAGTTTCCGCAAAAAAATGATCAACATCGTCGTTAAATTGTATTTCATGATCAAATTGACCTCTTAAAACTGAACAAGTATCATCTTCAACCAGGCGCGTAATCAGCCTTTTATTTTGGAGGGGCCCAGCCCGGGCACTAATTTCAAATAAGGGGGCCTTTAAAAAAAGTCTTCATTAGTATAAATCAACATTTTACTTGGATCACAACCAGTATATAAACTTAATGGGGTGCAAATAGCTGAAGTTGATTAACACCATGAGAATTCATTTAAACCCTGCGTGCCAATCTGCATAGTGTGTAAAAGGTATATCAATTGTATCGGTTACTTGCTTAAAAAAGTTATCGACAAACCTGTTCACAGCAGTATCGCTTTACTCAGAGAATTATATTACAAAATAGGAACATAAGATTACTCATAGCTAAAATTTACTGTTGATCTGAAATTTAGAATTTGCTTTACTTTTAAAATTTAAACTTAATTTTAGGGGGCAGCAGGGGTGGCATAGGGTTTTGCTGGGGTGGCCTGTGCCCCCCTAGCCCCCCCCTTAGTGACGTGCCTGTCTTCAACTGCCTGAAGCAAGAATTTTTATCTTGGGTATTTGCAGTTTCTTGGTGAAAATTTTCACTATTTGGCGAAAGTACAAATGAAGATAATTTTCTAACATTCCAGTAAAACGTGAATTTTGAGCGAGCTTTAGGCATTATGAGAATAAAGTTAATTCAACAAGCAGCTATTTACTTTAGAACTTACAACACAAGAAATTTTAATTACTTATTCTTATTTCTTCCTACCTGTTCGAACCTGTTAGTTGAATACTGTGGAAAGGTGAAAACCTCGGTGAATAGCATTCATTTACTGTCACAGTGTAAACAAAGGAGCACACTTGTTTATTATCAGTACTTATCAGTATCATCACATTTATTAATAGCAGATACATACACAAGTACGTACCCATAACGTATAATCACAGACTACACAGACAAGCCACTGCCCCACCGCTGACAAACGAATATAGTCTTTAATTCAAGAGTCCAAACAGCCGATTTCAATTATTTTGCCCTTGAACACAGGAAAATGACGGTTTAGGTGAGAATGACCTTGATTCCGCTTAAAAATTTTCAAAATACTGTAGTGGCTACCCTGTTTAGTGGAAACTTTTAGGAGAATGTAACTAGAAAAACCAGAATTTTGACACTTCGGGTCAGAGATATTGAACATAAGTACATATAGACATTTAAACCTCCTTGCTTTGGGTTGACAACATAACCACATATTACCTTAAAATGGGTCCGACAAAGACGTGTGAAGTGCAACGCACTCCTGCGAGTCCTGCGGCGACAGAATACACAATACAATACAATATAATCATTCACTCACTTTTAAAAAATGTATAAATTTAATTAATAGCATTCATAAATTTTTTAGCTTGTTCATGTTTTTTTTTTTACTATGAACGTACGTACGAACGCCTTTCTTATTTTAGTAAGTTAAACACAATTAATATGACTTCTGTTGATGTATTTTTTTAACATTATGTTGGCTTTTATCCGAGATTGTGTGGAAAGTGGCAGTATATTTATACAAAATTTTCTCGAATGACTTTGCAAAGTTATTACTAGAGAGCGGATTTCTGTCGGGCTAGGCAAGGCCAAACACGGTACGGCTCGTACGGGATGGGAATTCATTGCAGTTACGGGCTGCACTTCGTTTATTTGAGATTAGAATAACGCTGCTTAGTTGCACTCTGCTGTTAATTCCCGTTCTCATTTACGTAGCCGTTTGATTAATAAATCGTTAATTGTATTTATGGAATAAGTGACGATTAAATTTAGTGATTATGTATCACCCGCTACTGAGTCCCAACGATCCAGCGCGTCCCCACCTATAATCGTGACGTAGCCCGACAGAAATCCGCTGTCTAGTTATTACACATTCGGGAGATGGGCCTATAGTTCCTTACGTCAGCTATATCACCTTTTTTAAAAACCGGGCAGATAATTTCAGTTTTCCAGATAGTTGGAAATGTGGATGTCTTAAAGATGAGGTTATAGATAAAAAGCAGAGGTTGAACGAAAAGAGAGGCACAGTCCTTCAACAGGAAGCTGGGAATTCCATGACGACCCATAGTGAGAGAGTTCTTGGAGTTTCTTAGCGCTTCACTAACATCCTTTTCTGAAATTTGTGTAAGAGTAACACAGGTAGACATACTGAAATTGTGCTCACCCCCTTGGAAACTTAAACGGAATTGAAATATTGAGCAAATGTATCCACAATAAGGTCTGGACTGTCTAGGACGCGATTGTCATAGTGCATAGTACCAGGAATTCTCGACGTACCTCTCCTACTTTGGATAAATCCCCAGAACCGTTTAGGTTCACCTTGGATACTATTCTCAAAATTTAAGACATATTTTTTATATGCATTATTTATGAGACTATTAGTGTAGGAACGAAGAGCCTTAAACCTTGCATATGATTCAGTGGTTCTAAGTTTTTTATGTTTCTTAAATGCACTCCATTTCTGCCGTACTAAAACTTTAATTTCAGCAGTAATCCACGGCGGATAATGACGCTTTCAACTAAGACGAGATTTTGGAAATTTAGAAACAGTCTCTTGAAATATCTCATGCAACAGATCATAAAATGTCTCATATGCTTCATCAATATCAACCATTTTATTTAACCCAGACCAGTCCGTATTACAGAATCTTTCATACATAAGCATAAAGTTAGCTTTTTTGAAGTTGAATGATTGGAATTGATGGTTCATGGCAAAATGTGAATAAGCTTTTGTTCGCAAATCAAACGTAATAAACAGCGGCGGGTGATGGATGTCCTGTTTAACAAATCGGTGGAAAAAATTATTATCAATGTTACATGAGAAATTTGCGAAGACTAAATCTAAAATATGATTATTAAGATTGCATATACTATTATACTGCTGAAAATTATTTAAACGACTGAAACAATCCTTAGTGCCGCTCATAAACTGAGGCAGGTTGAAATCACCAAGAACGACAACATTGTCATAAGTAGATAATTGAAGGAAAGAATTAAGTTCCTCGATAAACACGTCCATATTTTTAAAACTTGTTGTTGGGGGGAATATACAACACTATTATCAAGAGTGTTTTTTGATCTAGACTAAGCAGTTTAACACCTACGATATCAATAGTAGGAACAGAACACGTGATTCAAGAAAAATCTAACACTGAAAACTATGGAAGAGTTCAAGCTCCTCCTCAAGCTGTACCATTTAATCTGAAGTAGCGGTCCTTACGTACTACAACATAATTATCAGGAAATAATTCTGTACTAAATAAATCTGTAGATACCCATGTCTCAGATATTGCTATGATATCAAAATTACAAGATGAAACATTGTTAAAAAAATTAACAGTTTTGGTCCTATAAGACCACGAACATTTTGATAAGCACAGTTTAAATGATTGTTATTATCACGGGAGACAACACTAGAATTCGAGGACTCAGGGGAATTAATTTCACTCATAGAAAATAATAAACTCCTAGAAAGATTCACTGCAGTAGAGCCAACAATTTCAGAATTGATATTTCCATTAGATTCATTAATAAAATTCTCAGTGCAGAGAGTTTCATTAGTTACGAAAAAGATTTCTGTGAGGGGATACATCACGAAATAAGTCCTTTTTGAAACGTTGCAACGCCAATTTATATGATTCACATACATTATAATATTGCACATTTACAGTAGCGGTCATTTCTACGGAACCACTCAAAAAGTCAAGTTGATAGCCCTGTCATCTAGTACTTTACGCCGAACGCGGTTGGTAGCGGTGGTTGAAATGGCAATCGAAACTAGCACAACACGAATGTTTCGTTTGCCCTCAGCTATGCCACACTGTATCCCGTGCAGACTGTATGTTCTGTTCATCTATTTATTAAAATAAAATATCTACATTGACAATGGGGCCATCTAACCTGTCAAATTTTTGACACATATGTTTTCCCCCAGAAACCCGTCAAGGTCACTTACACCAAACAAATTTTGAAAATTTACACTAGGGAGTGGCTCTATAGAAAAGATCGCGACTTTATATAAATAAATTTTTAGTTTGAACACCCACTAAATTAAATAAAATAATTTACAACAATATTAAGTGTAGAAGATATTATGCGATTTTAGATTGACACTTATGTATTAAAAACACTGTATGTAATTCTGTATCTATTTTCACAAGGATCTTGAACGGAGTAATTTGATAAAATCCTGATTGGATGTCTTTGGACAAGCCTGTATGAAACTCCCATGGAGGATCCAGTGGTCATAGATAAGGATGTCCCTGTTCATCCTGCGAGAAAAGAGCAGGAAAGCAAATACCATCTGGGGTAGATCACGCATGTCTTTTCCATATTAGGTATTATTCACGGACGACCAATCAGACCACCCAGACCAATAAAAATCACCGGAATTCAAGGTTGTCTTGTTTATTTGTAACCCATTTAACTTAACGGCGGAAGAGTGTAGGGAATTATCTTCCCACGGTCCGAAACTCTAATAAATAGGACAAATAATAATAATTAATAATTTATTTTCATGTTTATACACTACATTGAATATATACGCTTGTCAATACAGAAGTATTATACAAAATTCATATATACCAGATACCTACATTACAATCCGTGTGTGATATCTATGGATATCTTTTTGTTTTATAACTGAACCTTCATTTTTCAAGCATAAGATGCACTCATATTATGTAAGTAGAGTAAGGTAGAGGTAAAATCTTGAAATTTTTTATAAAATTTTACAATGTGCTGTTTGTGACAGTGGCAAATAGTCCGGATCGCCTTTTTTGTAGTTTGAATATTTTGTTTAAATGTGCAAACCATATAACATCCTCCAGTAGAAAAGAAAAAAATAAATCATGCGTCTATATTCATCGTCGATCAGAGGGCATAGTTGTTTGAGGATGAACACAGAGGCTGACAGTTGTTTCGCTAAGTTTTGAATGTGTACGTTCCATGTTAATAAGTTGTCAAACGTAATAAGTACCTAATATTTTTATGTTTTGCTTTTCATTTAAGTATCTATTCCATGCTAGGGTTGAAAAGCGTAGTATTTGTAATTTTTCATCGTTTACACATAAAAAATTGTTACTGAACCATTTATTGAGGTGTTCATCTGCCAGTAACATGTTGCCGTTTAATTCCTCCTGCGTTTTATGATGAAATAACAAACTTCATCGGCATAGACGAGAGGGAGTTGTCTTGAAAAATAATCGGTAGGTCGTTTACATAAAGAATCAGTCCAAGAATGGACCCCGGTGGAACCCCACATACCACATCACTACAAGATGAGCAACCATCAATCCACTTTACTATTTGTTTTAAATTTTTTTAGTACGACTTAAGAATGCTCAATCCATTATTTCTACTGCCCATCTGTTCTAATTTGTCTATTAAGACCCTATAATTAACGTCGTCAAAAGCTTAACTTAGGTCATAGAATTTACATGTGCAGAGCTCGGGGCATTCTAAGCTCTAGTCTCATAAGTACAAAAATTTTAAAGCAGATACTGTAGATCTTCCCCAATGATACGCGTGCTGATGGTTCCCTAAAACACTATATTTATCTAAAAAACTTATCAACCTGTCTTGACTCTAAAATTTTGCTTATTGTTGGAACAGTGGAGATCGTTCTAAAATTGCTTATGATATTTGTATCGCTTTTTTTTTGCACCGGAGTTACTTGCGAGAGCTTAAGCAAGTCTGGAAATACACCACTCCCAAAGTAATAATTATATGATCCAATTAATATAAGATAGGCAAGTTTAAGAGTTATGCTGTTGATACCATAAACATCAACGCTATTTGAATTTTTTATTCTTGAGACATGTTTCATGATTTCATCAGAACTAGCAGGATACACGTAAATACTGTTGGAAACACGTGTAATGTTGTTTAAACTGTCCTTATAACTTAAGTTTTTGTGATCAAAACGACTCGCAAGATTTTTTTCGGATTCTTCAAAATAAGTAGACAATTCTTCGCAACTAATACCATTTGTGGTGTGGAGATTTTACCTTCGACCTCAAGATTTTTGGAAAAAATCAACATTTTCCAATTTATAGTTATTGGGAGCATATTAAGTCGTTAGTCAAAATTTATCCATATTAAGTCGTTAGTCAAAATTTATCCGTTCATGCCTCCCCAGGAATTGATGATGCCATCTTACAATTTTGTGGAATAAATGTTATTTAAATGTTAAAAAGTAGCATAGTCCTGAACTTTTGGCTTATAAATACGCTATTGAGATTTTTCCGATTTTCGATTTTTCGTTTTTCAAGTTTTAGATTTCTAGATTTTTTTATTTTTCGATTTCTCAATTTTCCGATGTTTTAATGATACGATTTCTCAATTTTTGTCCTCTTCAATTTTATGGTTT